TTGAGCTTTGCAGTTTTTCCCATAACTGGAACTTTAAACAGTTACAGGTTATGTTTTAAGACAGAAAACTAAAAATGGCTGTGCTATTGTCCACAAGCTGATTGCATATTTATTGGGTTATAGCATGCTCTTAACCTAAGTCTATGGTATACTTTATTATGGTCCTCTCAATAGTATTTAGCCCCTATGCCATTAGCACTCCCCAGTCATGACAACCAAAAATGTCTTCAGACATTATCACATGTTCCCTGAGGGGGGCAAAATTACCCCCAGTTGAGTATTATTGCTCTATGCTTACATAAACATAATCAGATAAGAACATGTGGGCAGTTTCTTTAAAATACTGTATATATAAATGCGAGACAAAAATATGAAACTAGTATACAAGTTATTCATAAATTGCTTTTTTCATTTAAAATGTCTAACAATATTTTGCAGACATCCCTCCAGATCCGTACACATTTGGTATAATTGCTGAGTAATATTCCCTATTATGCATGTACTGTAATTTACCCAGCCGTTTTCCCCTTCGTGAATATTCAGATAGTTTCCATTTTTCTGCTTCTCAAACAATGCTGCAGTACGCATCTGTGTGCATACGATCTTATATTCTGGAGTTTTGTCTCTGAGGAATAGAGTCAAAGGGGGTTGTGCATTGAACATTCTAATACATTCTGCCAGATTGCTTTTCCAGAAATTTGGAACAATTCACACTTCCACCAGTAGGGCGCCAGAGTACCCGCCTCCAACCCTGAGAGTTATGGGCCTTTGCACAGTTTGTTCATTGGATAAATTAAAAATGAGCCACCGTGGGTGCTGTTGGTGTTTACATTTCCAGTTCCCTGACCTCTCAGGCAGCTGAGCAGTTTTTCATTTATTTATTGATCATTTGTGTTTCCTTAGGGATATGAACTGCTGGGCTCAACCATTCAGCCACTCAGGTAAACCACTTAACCTCTTTTTACCTCACTCTGTCACCCAGGCTGGAGTGCAGTGGCACAATCACAGCTCACTGCAGCCTTGCATTGACCTCCTGGGCTCAGATGATCTTTCCAAGTAGTTGGGACTACAAGCGTGTGCCACCCCACCTGCTTATTATTTTTATTATTATTTTTTTTTTTTTTTAGTTGGAGTCTCACTGTCGCCCAGACTGGAGCCTCGACCTGCTGGGCTCCGGCGATCCTTCCACCTCAGCCTTCCAAGTAGCTGGAACTACAGGCGCGCGCTACCTCACCCGGCTGATTTTTTTGATTTATTGTAGAGATGAGGTCTCGCCTGCCCAGGCGGGTCTCGAACCCACGGGCTCAGGCAATTCACTCACCTCAGCCTCCTAAAGGTGCGGGATTACAGGCTGAGCCACCGAGCCCGGCTTATTTTTATTTTTTATAGAGACAAGGTCTATGTTGCCTAGGTAGGTCTTGAACTCCTGGGCTCTCAAGCAATCCTCTCGCCTCAGCCTCCCAAAGTCCTGGGATTACAGGCATGAACCATTGTGCCCGGCCTTCATTTTCTTTAAAATGGGCATTGCATCTACCTCTCAGGGCTGTTGTGAGAACTAAGTTAACACTTGTGAAACACTCAAGATGATGTCTAACACGTTGTAAATATTCAGTAAATATTAGCTTTAAAAATCGTCTATTAATCGGCCAGTCACGGTGGCTCACATCTGTAATCCCAGCACTTAGGGAGGCAGAGGCAAGAGGATTGCCTGCGCCCAGGAGTTCGAGACCAGCCTGGGCAATTTGGCAAGACCTCGTCTCTACAATAAATCAAAACTTAGCTAGGTGTGGTGGCACACGCCTGTGATTCCAGCTACTTGGAAGACTGAGATGGAAGGATCACCTTAGCCCAGCCAGTCGAGGCTGCAATGGTCGTGAGTGTGCTACTGCACTCCTGGCTGGCCAACAGAGTGAGACTCTGACTCAAAAAAATAAAAATCTTCTATTCAATATATTTGTAGGTTTCTATTTACCTAAAGAAACTCTAGAAGGACACATAAGAAACTAACATAAATCATTACCTCTGCGTATGCTGTGGGTGGGGGGGTGGAGGAAAGTGGATCTAGGAAGGCAGGGATGGGAGCAAGACTTCACTGCATATCTCTTACACTACTTTGTGTTTTTATTTCAATTATGTGAATGTATTGCCTATTGGGGCTCAGGTCACACCACCTCATAATATGGCTGTAGGAGACCA